ATGCAGAGACGACAACTCCAACTCCCTTCGGGCGGTTCGGAAAGTGGGGGACTCAGGCAGAACATGTGGTAACCGCGATCGCAGTCGTCGCAGAACAGCATCTGCTCCTTGAAGAATAACAAGAAAACGGAAGAAATATCAGTGACGTGGTTTTTTTGCCGCATGATTTTTCGCATTTACTTTCGTTCTTATAATGGGCCAGCGGACCAGACGCTGATTGGATATTCAGTGACCACGGCTTTGAATTGACCAATTAACGGTCAGGAATGCCACACTGACAACGTTCGATCATCACACAGTTGACTGAGAGCGTTACCGAGAGGCGTATTCGACGTTACTTAGCCAAATAACACTAGTTCGGGTGCTAGATAATGTAGTTGATGCAGTGATTCAATCAGCGAGTCGGGCCAGATGGTGATTGGATACTCAGCGAACTTGGCTGAATCGGCCAATCACCGACCAGGATTGTACAATCGATGGTGATCAGTCAATTGACACCAATGCCAAGTAATAGGCCAATTCATAAACTTACAACCCGAAAATCAAACAGTGCAAGGAGGTGACGACATCGGCTATGCGAAAGGCAACGGCAACCACTGACCGGAGCGACACAAACGTCCAGGATTGAGGGCGAACCCCCACGGCACTGCCGATTACCTTAGGGTGTTTTTCTAAGGGACAATTGGGCTTACCATACTTGGGTTATATTTGTTCTAGATTAATGCTAATGTAGGCGATTCAAATTACATAACCAATGATGATTCGGTTCGAAATAGTGACCATTTTTTTGCGTTTGTAATGACCAGAAGGTAAATCAGCTTTGAGTGAAAAAAAAACAACTCCCCCTTTGACTGCTTCAGACTAATTTTGCATCCTGTCTCCCTGTTTTAAGGGAAATAAGAAAGGAAAATGTTCGTTTTTCCACAACCCCATTGTTAAAACTGGGGGGTTAGTGTGCAGCCGCAGACAAAAGTATGACAAAATTGGCGTATTTCACATGTCAAAAATGACAAGATCACAGCGCATTAATAGACACCCTACGGACAAAAAATGAGACTATTTTTCAAGACAAAACAGTTTCGGGGGTGTCGTAGCCGGTCAGCAAAATCAACTGAAAGGCGGTCAAATTGGTGTTTAAGAGTGGAGTTGAGTAGGAGGCTGCCATCTCCGCTGTAGTTTAAGAGGCGGCGGAGTTGGTTAAAAAAAGCGGCTCAGCTTAAGCCCAAATGGTCACGGAGGAGGGGAGAGGAAGGCGGGGTGCAATGCGAGACCAGCTTCACGCACTACGTCGTTATTAACGAGGGTTTTTGTATAGCCCGAGTGAGCCCGTAAGCCCGGGCAAAACGTTGGCCCAGATATCATTGAAGAACGAACGAGGACTTCAGTTGGGCAAGGAAGCAGTCGAACTTGTGATGAGTTATTTGAGGACAAAGATAGACCACGCATGATGGACTTGTGCCAACATCGTCGCACTACATTATGAGACAGATCGCGGAGACATTAAAAGCTCTCTGCAGGCGGTCCTGCGTTGTCTTACATCAGCGCGGGGAGGTGGGGTCTACTAGCGTCAGACAAGGGATCTAGGCTACCGGTTATTTGAGTGTGTGGTTCCGGTTCTGATCGACTCGTGCCAACATCGCTTCGATCCGTTATCCTTAACCACATCACGGCCACGATTTGGTTTCATAACTACCGAAACCACCGATTTCCCGATTAATGCCAGGTATTTAAGATGCGACCATTTAAAAGCAAATTTGGGTGTTCTGTTTGGATTTGCGATAAAAATACAGTACTCTACCATCTTGGCTGCTTTTCGTCAAGTTTTACAAACAAGCGTCCGCTAGGTATGCGACAGTTTCGGTTCATATGCAGAAGATGGCAAGCTAGCTGAAACAGCAAGAAACACGCCTCGCCAAATAGAATGAATGGTGACAGAAATTGGCCACTGAGCCCAACTTGTAGGTGGCAAGAAAACGGCAGTCTGAGATGTTAGTTAAAACGGAGAGTTTAAATTTTGGCGATGCGGTTGCACGTTTAGTGTGGCGAGAATTAGGAATTCTGGTCTCGACCGATCCCTTCAAGTCCTCCTCATTGTTTTAACGACCTGGTGGGCTCGGTAAGAGGCCAATCTGAATTTCGACCAATGAACAACCGAAGCTACATACGGCACCAGCCAATCAGATGTGCTGCGTGGTTTTACACTCACTTATTGTTATATGCGATATGTAAACAAGATCCCTTGAGCGTTCCATGCCGCATTTGCTGCGTTTTGACGTATTCCAGTACTACAAGAGATGCTAAACTAGGACCCAATAAAGGGTCACTTGTAACTTGAAGCCAAACTGAAGTCAAAAACGACACTTCAACAAAGAGGTAGGTCACTCTGCAAACAGACAAGCACACTAAATGCCATTTCTCGAAAATCAAGAGTGCAGCTCAGAAAAAACAACCTATGGGCTAGAAATGTGTGTGTAGCGATGGGCTGGTTTCGCAATTGGCGTTTAACAGGCTAATCAGAACAGTGGAACAACGCGGTACATAAGAATAAGGTGTGGTAGGTGCCAATGGGAACATTGCTGTTCAAACACACCACTTCTTGGGATGGTCCAGTGCCCCACGAGGAAACCACAGCGTTAACGAGGGTACAATTTTGACCCCGTGGGCGTTCGCGGAAGACGCTGGTCCGGAACACTGCATACGTCAAGTGCTGGTTAGTGATTATGTGGATCAAAATGTGCGCCACGACAGGCGAAAGTGGAAAGGAATTCAAAACCATACACGTTTACGCACGCCAGCCAACTAACGTAAATCTATCTTAACACACCACAAACTCTTTCAATGGTCTAGCACCAAAGACGACTTTGGACCCGACAAGTCACCTGATTAGGCTTGAGCATTTAGCTGGGCACGCGTCTCACAGCCTAACGTAGGTCTGAGTTACCTGTGGTTGTGGCATGGTGACGAGCAGCTAGGAATTACAAGATGAACGCCAGAATCTCACTACTCAGAATTCGCAAGTGTGGAACCCAGCCTAAGTAGACGATTTTCGTTACTTTCAACGCTAGAACAGGTGCTAGAGCCGTTCACCAATTCGCTCACAGTTGCGCCTAGGGCCCCGAAGCAGCTTACCAAAGGGCACAATATTACGATCGTGTTTGTGTGAACAAATGCGAACTTTCCAGGGCACAAACAGATGTCGTCTCGATAATTTTAAGGGGGCCGCGGCTTCGCGAGTGGGTAGGGCACACAACGCAGCTACATTCGTGTGTGTGTGTGTGTGTGAGCGGGGGAGGGTTATGCGCACCTGCAAATCCACACTAAAGCTGCCTAACAAAACACCCGCGCGCCACGCCGCGTGCTAAACTAGACAACACTGTGTCTGGCGTCGAAATAGCTCTGTGTGAATTGAGGTGATTATCACGTCGGAGGCGGGGTGGCCGGGGGGGTGGCGAGGCGACCCGATCAAAGGGCGGCACACTTCATCCGCATTGGGTTCCACTTGTCTTGTGTCGACAGCGGCCTATAATTAGGCGGCGTTACCCACGCCTTCCCTACCAAGTAGCGTTAGAAGCATGAGGCGGCGGCGGCGGCGGCCATTCATTAAACGCCAGTCAACAAAGCGGATGAAATGCGGTGCAAAAAGGAGCAAGTTGTGCAGACGGGGAGGCGAAAATGAGTCAACTCAGCTAAGCACACACCAACCGAAGGGCGTCGTTGTTGAAAGTTTGGTTCTGCAACGTCTGCAAGTTAACTCCTAATGGCCACTGGCACGCCGTTGCCACCACCAAAGTCTCACCAAATTGAAACACAATTGACAAAGAACTTCATTTGACAGAACGAGGCAAACGCGGGAGATACCCGACCGATGATTGGTGCATTTTTTGTTTCAAATTCCAAGACGCTGTACAGAAAAATGAATTGACAAGACAGTAATTCCGGCCTACACTAATAATGAAAAGCTTTCTTTTTGACAACTAGCTGATGACATTTTGCTTAGTTTGCACGTGAGCGTTAGTTTTGGGGTGAATTTAAACACTAACATTAACCAATAGAAATGCGTGATTTGTGTGCTCTTTCGAAAAAGAATCGTCACTGAAAGCGATTTGTCTGCAGCAAAATTAGTTCAGGTGAAAACGGTCATGTTGTAAGCGTGGAGGAAGCTGTACTGCGTCAACAGGAGATCGCGTTGTCAGTTTATTTCAGGATAGAGATTCCAAATGCGTTGTGCATTTTGGGCTGCTTCCAATAAACCAAATGACACATTCAAATGTGTCCACTGTCAAACAACCAATCAAACTCGAGGCAGCAATCAGTTGAAACCAATCAAAATGCCGCGTCACAGAGGAATCGCCAAGACAATGCGGAACCTTCCACGTCTTTGGCAATTTGTGGAGCATTAGTAAAGCTTGGCTGGGAAGTGGTGTCAAGCATAGTTCAAATATCCCTGACTCGACATTACCAGATGACAATCCACTTCGAAGTTGGCTCAACTATTTGGTGGCGATGAGTGGTCCATTTTTTGATGGCAGTTCGGACGTTGCATGAGCGTGGATCTACGAAGTGGCCAAGAAGACGGCAAATTGCCATTAAGCAAAATGGAAAGTGCATAAGTGCAAGGACGCATTCGCCGATTCAGAAAAAGATTGGATTCCACTTCACACTATAAAACCTAACTGACGTCGTTGGCAAACAGCAACCTTTTTCTACTTGAGGTTTGGAAAATGAACCGGAAAAGGGCCAAACGTTGCTCTTACGATCGCAGACTCCCGAAAATCGATCTGACAAAATCGAAGTGGCGGTAACAAATTACACTTGTCCGCTCAATCCATCCAGACGCGTGACAAACACTTCAGCCCCGATGAAGAGAGAGATGTCACAAGGTTGCGTTGGAACACCTCTACATCGGCATTTTCAAAAGAAAGACGCCAAAGGTGTAGTTGCAACTGGAAGAAGTTCACCTCTAGATTCATCAGGAAGCCACGAAAACTACAGTGGTCGCATGGAATGCTATCTCTGCCTGCCCCTCTTTGTTTTACTGTCACAATTTGAGGCTTTTTTCGCGCGACCAATCACACCACTGAGTTTGTTTTCCAAACATACTCGTTGCGCTAATTGATGTCTCCTGTTTTGGGACAAGACAAACACCCACGTGTTGCCTGCCGTGTAACCAGCACGGAAGAAACAGAAGTTGGAAAACAGGTTTTGTTTGGGCTGCTTGGTGCGAGTTTGTTTACGCTCGCACGCACCTGAACGGACGACCAACTAGCAAAGCTTGTTAATGTGCAAACACTGCAGACATGTTAGAGATTAGGGGGTTAGGAGGGCTGGAGTGCGGTTAGTCGTGTTGCTGGTCCGATAGCCCCGCCAGGACGTACGCATTAGTTACACAGACACGTCCTGACGTGCACAAGGGTGGTCTTTAGCCCCGTATTAGTCCGTGTGGACGAGGGGACACAACTGTGGTCTTCGTGGCTGATGACTTCAACTGAGTGTAGAAAGGTGGTAGCCGGTGTCCGAGGTAAGGTCACCAATGGCAGAAATGCTAAGACCGGTGTGAAATCGATGCGAAACCCCACATGGCCGAGGGCTGCTGTGATTTGGCGCGAACAGAAGGTGACGCCGTCGCTCCACCTGCAGATGGTTTGTGGTGAGTTGGTTGCCGAGTGCGCCCACCGTTGCATTGGCTATGAACGTCCCTAAAGCAACGCCAGTGTTGGCTGGGCACCACGGATCGTCTTACCTTCGAAGCAGTTGCCTCAGGCATCAGAGGAAGACGGATTTTCCCCCCTCAACTCTATGAGGTAGCCTGGACCTCAAACCCAACCAAGCCACTAGCATAAGAAGTGCCACGTATAGGAGGTGAAACATTGAAATGGGTCAGGTTTCCCTTCAGTTGATTAGAAAAGAAGCGGAACGACACAGGTGGCACAGGAAGAGCTTTAGCATCCGTCGTAGTGAAAGCGGGGTTAATTTTGGCCTGGGATTAATCACGTCTGTACAAGTCGTCCACACAATTTCAGCCTTAAACGGAAGAGGCGAAGGGAGAGGGTGAGGAGGAAGAGTGGGATAATTCAGGACCACAGACAATAAACCTTAAACAACACCATCACCACCACCTCCAGCTTCACCTTCTTAAAAAAAGGAGGGGGCACACCCACTTTAAAAACCGAAGTGAACAGGGGAAAAAGCAGGCAAAGGTGGAGGTAAAGATCGGGTAGTTCACCACAGAGGACACCTAACAGAGGACACTTGAAGCTCAATGACAAGAAAAGGACCAAGGACGCTGCGCTAAGTCGAAACTCGAGTGTTTTCCAGGGTGCCTCACGAAAATCGTTTACGCACATCAGTGCGTCACGGGGAAATTACTTCGCACGGTTGTTAAATTTGCACACAAAACCGGCACTTAGATGAGAAGTGTTGGAGACGTCAACATCCTCCAAGACGATGTGATTTGTGACGCAGATTCACTCAGCTTTGTTCACACAATTGCAACCCTACTGTCACGCCACATCGCTGTTCACACCCATCACTCAGTGCTATTAACCTCCGATCCCCAGAGGTATACCAGTGGGGACATTTGAGTACCCACACGACTTCCGCACTGGTCCCATCTTGGACTCAAACCCCTCGTTCATCCAGTTAAACCCTTAGCACCACGTCTAGTCTTCGCGCATTCTGGGAGGCCTTCAGCATGCCAAGCAACTATTACGCTCGGAGATTTGTGTGTGTGGACTGCTATGCAAGTTTGTACGGCCCTGAAGTGACTCTAATTGAAAAACACCAGCCTCAAGTCGAAGTGGTGTCGAATCGGCATGGGATAACAGGTGACGCAGATGGCCAAATTAGTGCAGTTGGCAAGAAAGCTTACATCGTTCTCGGAGGTGCCGCAAAGCCAACAGGTTTTGCACTCCAGACACTGCCACTGGTAGCCCCGCACCGAGGTGATCATGTTGGGGGTGAATTGGAGGCACGAGAAGTGGGCGCAGCGGGTGCAGTCGGAGCAGCGGACAAGGCCCTCCGGACCGGGTCCGCCGGGCCTCTTCTTGTTCTCCGACTCATCGCCCAGGCAGAAGTCACAGGTCCACGAGTCCCCCTCGCACCCCTCTGCCGTCCCATCCGAGGGTTTGCGATGACCGGCTTCGATTACTGCAGTGGAGAGACAACAAGCGCGTTACGCTGTGCCACTTCGGAAGACAGAAGCCACTATTGTTCTGGTGGGCTCGTTAAATCCTCGTGGAACACGAGGAGGAAACCAATGTCATGCGTTGATTAGGTTTAAAGGTCCCAGCGAATACGGGATCGAGATGAGCCCTTCCCACTTAAACCACCAGCTCACCAGGCAGAATGCAGAATGGCAGCAAATCTTACACGTAAAATGAGCTAATCAAAGCAACGAATCAATTTATTTTCTATGAAAGGAACCACAAGTAACCGCGATGGAACAAAAACATCCGCAATGTGCGGTAATTAAGCCGTCGTGGCAAATAACTATGACCTAATCCCAAATTTGAATGACTTCCCACTCTAATCGTACACCACTTGGAGTAAATTGATGCGGATAGCGCGGAAAAGGATTAAAGGCATCTTCCTACTCCTTAGATTTCAAGCAAACGGAGACCGCCCAACAGTCACACAATACTTTAAGCGTTTGATTAAAAGGGATGTTAGGTCAATTGGGCAGTCTGCGAGGCAGGAATGGGGAAATGCTATTCGTGGCATGCGGCTGCGTCGTGCGCCCGTTGACAAACCGAGGAGACCAAACCCATTTTCCTTCAAGATTCCGCAGAAACCATAATGATCGCGACACCACTCTAGGCGGCATCAGTAGTACAAAGGAGTTGTCAGGCTGATATTACGCCAAGCTAGTACTGAAATCACAGTGGGCTCTGAAGCAGCGAGAAACCGGATGCCAACTATCAGCGGGAATAGGTTTGAACCTGTGAACAGATCCCGGAAATACGAGATCTCCAGCTTTCAATTTATTGGCCAGATGAAGCAAGTGGATTAAGGAAAATGCATAAATAGGAGACAACATCTTTTCGGTTTGAAACATTCCAAAGCACTCCAACACGACTGTGGCAAAGGTCACATTACAGCTTGGTCATTATTAAGCCAAAGTGGTGGCCCACTGAAGCCATTTGTCAAGTGGCGACAGGAACCTGCCGACCGATTAAAGGTTAACGGATAATGCTAGGCTTAGTAATATATATTTGAGCAATCTTAACGCGTATGCAAAACAGACGAAAGCACTTGAGGTGGTTTAAACCAACTGTCGAGAGTTTGTCGGTCAACATGTACAAAAGGAAATGGCGTAATGCGGTCATCGTCAAATAAAGACAAAAAAAATAAAAGTAACAAGAAACGGCGGGAGGAGGAGGAGGAGGAAGAAGCAAGGGACCTTGTTTAAAACGAAACTAAGCACCAAAAGAAAATGGCAGAAGAGGCAGAGCAGAAGGGGAGGCGTTGGACCACCTGGTTCAGCAACAGACTGTTTTGTGTGCGAGATGGCAGCAGTTAATAAAAAGGGCGAGGAGTAAAAACATGCGCACACATAAAGGTTCAGTGTGTCAAAGCTGCCTGGTGACGGTGGTGTAGGGTTTGGTTGCTGTGGTTTGCGTGCTGACTGCCTGCGCAGGTGGTATCCCAACGCCCGTCTCCTCCTTAGCCCTTACGGATTAGCACTGAAAGGATTACAAAAACCTACGCGTTAAAACGTTACACGAGCCTGGAAGGCTAACACCAAACTGTACAAATCTAGGCAGACGTCATCCTACTCAAGGCCCCATTTGCTGTCGAAATTATCGTGTGGCAATAAACTTTTGATTTACACCAGAAACCAAGCTCTAATAGATTGTAGAGCGCTGTGGTCACCCGGATATATTGAACAAAAAAGTACATACTTGTGCTTGGTAAATTCCGGCTATTGCTGTTGTAAGAATTTGACCGATTGACGATGCGATCCCTTTCGGATGGAGTGTTTTCAATTAGGGCAGAAAGAAGGCCAGTGTTAACCGAGGTCTGCAGAAGGGATTGGCTATTTTTAGGCGTTGAAAGTTGTTCTGGTCGACCAAGTTTCTTGGACTACACGGATTTAAAACACTCGTGCTTATTACTATTTTCATTTAAAAAACACAAACCAAAGGTAGATTTACCTGAGGATTGTTGTTGACGTGTTGAGAATTATAGTGGTAATTGAGTCCTGTTTTAGTTTTGTAACGCATGCCACACACGTCGCAAATAAACTGTGGGTTTGAAAACTTGTCGTTCGAGTCATCATCGAGAGGTGTACCACCATTGGTGTAGGAGGTGTAATACACGTTAGCCGCGGCACGTCGACGACCAGTGGATGCAGTTGAGCTTGGGGTTGCGTTTGGCCGCAGAGACCGTGGTGTCTAATTTCGAAGAGTTAGGATTCCTTGACAAAATTACCCTTGTTCTTCGTTTTTTGCGTCGACCTCCGTATGTTTCGTCGGCTAATTCGCTACCCTCAGAATCGATATCATACACAGGATTTGTCGCCCACGTGCTACGACTATCTTCGTCGTCCAACTCACGCCAAAGAGCATCCTGTGCTGAAAGACCGGCGCCAGAAAACAGATCTACTGAACCGCTAAGACAATTAGAATTATGGTACCTGCCCTGGAATTAGAATTATACTGTTCAGCCGATCTAACAACCGAACTGTGAGAAAGAATATTTCTCTTTGTTTTCTTCCATCTGTGGGGATAATACGTAAAAACTTTGTAACCCAATGGGCTCAGATAGCGTTCATCATCTTTGCGTTGTAAAAAGCAAGGCCTTTGAGCTAT